GCCTCTAAATGTCTAGTTGATGTACTATTGTTTATGTGGAAACACCTATTTTCTTTCCCTCAAAACAACCCTTGATGCTGTTGCAGAAATCATAGGCTGTGACACCTGCAGCATCCCCTCAGCATATACTTTCCTTTCACAGCATATACTTTCCCCCAAGATACAAGCCCTGGTTCTGATGGTGTGTGGTGCAAAAATCTATCTTTTGGCTACCCAAGACCACACTTCTGTCTCTAAGTTCCTCCTAAAAAATTACCCAAATAGACAAACTGGATTTGTCTGCCTCATTCTTTGGTTTCTCAGCTCCTTCAGCATTTGAGGGTTGCTTTGCATACATAGCCCTTCCACAGAACTGGGTCCTGGGGAATTCCTATCTCTAGAGCAAAGAAAGATCACTTGGGAGAAGTAGCTATCAATAAAGGATAAGAAAATCTAGTAAGTATAACCTGGAAGCCAAGTGAAAAAAATGGGTGTGAGGAAGTGATCAACTAATGTTATCAAATAATGTTGAAAAGACCAGTAAAGTGAAATAGGATACCGCAGAACTTACTTCCCAGTCTCAACAGGATAAAGTGAAGAAACCATGGGAACCAGCGGACAGTGCTGAAAGCAACTTCTAGCTTCTCTCATTGCTCATTAGCATAAGACACTCCTACCTGCACCATGACATTAACAAATACCATGGCAATGACCAAAAAGTTACCACCCCTTTCTATGACAATGACCAAAAATTACCACCCCTTTTCTAGAGATTTCTGCATAACCCTCCCCTCTATTAGCATGTAATTAAAAATAGGTATAAATGTAGCTAGCCAACTGTCCACAAATGCTCACTTGGGGTGCACTGCTTAGGAGTTGGATGTGCTTCACAAGAAGCAATTCCAGTTCAATAAAACTTGCTAATACCACTGGCTTGCCCTTGGATTCTTTCCTGGGAGAAGCCAAGCACCTGTATGGACTCATCTGCCCTGAATCAATAGGACTGAAAAGGACCACTGGATTTAGCCACATGGAATCCATCAGGGACCTTGACGAGAGCAGATGCAAAGATGTGATTGGAGAGGGTGCAAGAGTAAATGGAAGAAGAGGAATTAGAGACAATGAATATTCCACACCTCTACTGAGGAATCTTGCCATTAACTGATGCAAAAAATGGAGTCGTAGGTAGGTAGAGGGGAATATAGAACATATATATACATATATTTGAGATGAGAAAAATACATGTTATTATGCTAATGGGAAAGATCCAGTAGATTAAAAAAAGATACAGGAAAGAGAACAACTGTAGGAATGATGCCGTAGTTTAAGGATGGGATCTAATATACTAGAGGATTTGGTCTCAGATAAGAGAACAAAGTGTCAACCATAGCAACAGAAAGAATGCAAGAATAACATGCACAGAGAAGAGGAATTATTTTCCAATTCCTTATTTAAAATAATTTTTTTTGAGACCAGGTTATGAGATTGGAGATATATATATATATATATATATATATATATATATATATATATTTTTTTTTTTTTTTTACAAGAAACAGAGTTTTGCCATGTTGCCCAGGCTGGTCTTGAACTCCTGGGCTCAAGCAATTCACCTGCCTTGGCCTCCCAAAGTCTTGAGATTACAGGTGTAAGCCACTGCACCTGGCCTCTTCTAAATCCTTTTAACTGTTCTAGGAAACAAGGTTACCAGCTGAGTGAGGAATGAGTGAAGTGTTGTGGGGGTTAAAGAGAGAAGTCATAAAATAGCAACCTAAAACAGTGGGACAATGACTGGACTAGGAAAACAAATGCTGGAGGTTAGCATACAAGAAATTATGCTTGTATAATATGACTAACTGTCATAGTTGCTTTTCTTCAGCCGCATTGAGCTGCGTGGATAGAGTGGAATAGACAGCACTAGGCTTTTCTTGTTTATTGTTTTGCCAGATGCTCTGATTCCTTCATTTAAAAACTATATGTTAAATTATAAGAATATGCCATGATTGACCAGCCATGGTGGTTCACACCTGTAATTCCAGCAATTTGGGAGGCCAAGGTGGTGGATCACTTGAGGCTGGGAGTTCGACACCAGCCTGGCCAACATGGCGAAACCCCATCTCTACTAAAAATATAAAAATTAGTTGGATATGGTCCAGCACATCCAACTGTGGTCTCAGCTACTCAGGAGGCTGAAGCATGAGAATTCCTTGAACTTGTGAGGTAGAGGCTGCAGTGAGCCAAAATCGTACCACTGCACTCCAGCCTGGGTGACACGGTAAGACCGTCTCAAAAAGAATATGTCACGACTTACTGTTAACCTATTCACTCCCCAATATTTCTGCTGTGTTCATGTTTTTACTCTTTAAAACACTGCCTCAATAAACATCTTCGTATGTCTCTTTTGCCCACATGGGAGAATTTCTAGTCTAGGATATATATCTCCAAGTGGAACTGCTGAGACATGAGATATGCTTAGCTTTGATCTTACTGGATATTGCCAAATTAATCCCCAAAATGATTATACCAATTACCCTCTTGCCAGCAGTGTATAGAAGTTCTAATACTCCTCTGCCATATTTCTCAACTTTGGCCAGCCTACTCGGTATAAAACAGTATTACACTGTTTTATTTTGCAATATTCTGACTTCCAGATTGAGCATCTTTTTATTTACTGGCCAGTCTTCGTTGTCTATCAGTCAATCTCCACTCAATTGCTCACTTAAAACACTGTATTAAGTACCTACCATATGCTTGGCATTAATTAGCAGGGTAATAAAAAGAGCTACCAAAACAGACATGGACTCTTGCCTTCCTGGATATCATCATCTAGTGTAGAAAAAAAACAAATAATCACAACTGCAAACTGTGGTAACATGGAGGACACTGACAGTAATCTATGAAACATTTTAAAAGGGAGACCAATGTAATTGAAATAGGAGAGTCAGCAAAACCTTTACTGAAGCACCATTTGCATTTTAACAGACAAGCAGGAATTAACCACCTTAGCATTTTTAAAAGGTGCTCAATCTTGAAGTCAGAATACTGAAAAATGAAAAGCCTATTGCAGCTATAAAAAAACCAAGCATCACCACCATCAATATGCCTAAAAGTGCAGAAGTCTTTTCATATCTTCCAGGGAGGCGTGCTAGATGCTCTGGCAGATACAAGTATATCATACATATTTTAGGTTTCTTTAATGCAAGCAAAGAAATATAAAAATTAGCTTGAGCAAAAGGATAAATTTGGACTGATGGGGAGCTCCCTAAATTCCAAAGAGAGCTTCAGAAATTAGGCCAGGTCCAAGGACATCAGGGAACAGAAACAAGAACACCATCATATCAACCTTGTCCTCTCCTACTTCCCATCTCTGATAAGAAACTGGGTTCCAGGAAGCTCTAGGCCTTTATCCTTTTGGCCTAGCAACACAAAAGAGCAAAGTAGAGCTCCTTCCAGCTCTACTTTGAAAAAATTCTGGCAAAGGACTCTGATTAGCTGAACTAGGTCTCATGCCTGCCCCTAGAACTATCAGTGAGCTCCAGGGACATCCTGACGGGTTCCTACAGTCAGACTGTTGCAAGAGGAAAAGGGGGAAAATGCTGGGCAGACAAAGACAAGAGCTACCACAACACCGCTATCCAGGAGTTATAAGGATTGAATTAAATGACAGATGTGAAACACTTAGCAGAATGTCTTTAAATTAGTAAGCATTCAGTAAATGGTAGCTATTATTAACTCACCTGGCTGTGATGAGTTTAGCAGTTAATTCTTCCTTCTTGGTGCATCACTCTTTAATCTTAGCCAAGTTCTGAAAATTGAAAAAGACAAACTGACTCCCATTCAACTCAGAAGGCTATTTATTGAAATAATACAATGATGTTACAAGGATGCATTTCACGTAGCCCTAAAAGGCTGGGTATCCATAAGTGCATGGTGCATGGCTGTTGGGACTAAGAAAACCTTCTGTCCCCTGAAATCTAGGTGGGGGAAAAAAAAAAGAAAAGAAAACGTTGTCAATGAGCCACACATACACCCTAAGCTCCCTCCCTGTCAATGATGATGCTCTATAGTTCACGGGGTGGTGGTTGGATCTAGGCCAGGCTCCAAACTCAAACCAGTGGTCTCCTTTGGATCTTCTGGAACTAAGTTTTTATAAACTTCCATTAACAGTGGGGGCAGCACTCAATTGGTTACAATTCATGCCATTCCTGAAAGCAGTTCACTATGGGGACCCCCAAACAACCAGTATCAAAATGAGTTCCTGACAGGCATCCTAGCCAATCAGTAGGGAGGGTCTGAGTAGAATTACCCATTGTCAAGCTATGTATCAGACAATACAAACATGCCCTTGGCACAGTGTGTGACCTAATCATGGAGTACCAAAAACAAGGGTTTTTGGATGGTCTGCATCTCAGAAGGGCAGATCTGCTATGGAATATTCCATTTTGCATCACAGAGGACAGACTAATAGAGCTATACATATTACGTTTCAGCCCCCATGCACATTTTTTTTCCCTGCAAAGAATGAAGAATGCTTTGGTGCTGCCTAATGTCATCCAGGACGAGAGAAAGACAAAGAAGCCTGTAGGAAAGGTTCACCATTAATACCACTAATATCATCTTGCCCCACAATTAATATTTAGGGCTGGGAAAAATTACCTATCTTTGGGAGACAGCTTTTGTGTAAAAGGGATCAAGTGTCCAGTTGTGCCCAAATTTGTCTGCATGGTCAATGTCAACAGACCAATGAATGTTCCCAAAATTCCTTTAGGATAGTACATGGGAGGCATTACAGGATGGAGTGAGCCACTGAAGCTTAGCTGATGGAAAGGTATTACAGAACTAAATTTTAGTTGACTTGTGTGTGTCAGGGTCTTGCTCTGTTGCTCAGGCTAGAGTGCAGTATTGTGACCTCAGCTCACTGCAGTCTCCACTCCTGGGTTCCAGCGATCCTCCCACCTCAGCCTCCTAAGTAGCTGGGACTACAGCTACACGATGTCCCACTAATTTTTGGATTTTTTTTTAAGAGGTAGGGTTTCACCATGTTGTCCAGGCTGGTCTTGGACCCCTGGGCTCAGTCTGCGTGCCTTAGTCACCCAAAATGCTAGGATTACATGTGTGAGCCACCATACCTAGCCAAGTTAATTTTTTTAATGGTGAAATATTTTCTTTGCACACAAAATGAGTCAGTATATGGTGTTACTCTAAACTGAGTAAAAGACAAAATTTATGGCAATGGGCAATTAGACTTAGACTTTTCCACAATAAAATTAACAGGGGAAAATTCTCCTCTTAGTTTTACGCTGTTTTGCCATTGATCTGATATTGTAGGCTTAAGCTAGTGCTTTTTCATGGGCATGCCATAAAAAGCACAATAAGAGGACTTAATAGTTCTGTGAAACTGGCATATTATTAGCTGAAAGTATAATAAGTGTAACTGGGAAAAGGAAAAAAAAGTCACTAGTAGTTCAACCATCTACAGTTTCTGTTAAATTGTGTTTTGTAAGCCTCCAAGAAGTTGCTTTAAACAGTTTGTGATAAATTTGCATACATCTTGCTGCCACTTATGCTTTTAGGAATTCCCAAAGCGTCCAACCCATAGGTGCTCATTAAATGTTTGGGTATCTGATATATCTTAAAATTTATTTTAAAGCCCTCTGAGTTCTAAAATACCTTTTCTCTGACAAAGCTATAGGGCCGCAAATCCAGGAAACCTGTATTCTTAACCCAGCTTTACCCCTATAGGCTGTATCATACTGTGGAAACCACTTCACATCTTTGGCTTTCAGTCTCTTCATCTGTACAATGAAGTGGTTCGGCTAGCTGATCTAATTCTTTGAATGGTGACTTCCTGGAGGTGGAACGGGTTTCCACGGCGAAGTTAATGTAAGAGCTGCAGTTGGGTGCAGTTGTCAAGCAATTTTTAAAATGATTTTTGGTCATTACTGCAGGAATTTATTTTTTTTTAAAGCTGTTAACATTGGGGGTTATAAGTCAAGATGCTGAAACTTGATGATCTCCTGCATACATATATTCAAAAGCTTTATAAAGTCCAATATATAGACATTTAATTTCCAACCAGCTACATATATGTAGATGTTTTCACACCAGTCTGTTATCAGATCTGAGCTTTTATTTATATAAAAAAAAATCTGTCTACTGGCAGTTTTCTCCACATACAACATACAAACACACACATAATTCATTACATTCCAAAGCTCTCTCTCTTTAAGAATCCTCTGATCCTGAATCAGAACAACACGTTAGCTAAAGCATTCTGAAAATTCCTTAACTTCAAGGTTCCTAGAGTTTATTTCGAGTGTGAATTCTCTGGTGTTTAGTAAGAGCTGAACTTCGGCTGAAGTTTTTCCCACATTCCTTACAAGAATAGGGTTTTTCTCCAGTATGAATTCTCTGATGATCATGCAGGTTGGTTTTCTTTCGGAAAGCTCTCCCACATTCATTACATTCATAGGGCTTCTCTCCGGTATGAGTTCTCTCATGCTGAATGAGGGATGAACTTTGACTAAAGGCTTTCCCACAGTCAATACATTCATAGGGTTTCTCTCCAGTGTGGGTTCTCTCATGTTGAGTAAGTGATGAGCGTCGACTAAAGGCTTCTCCACACTCATTACATTCATAGGGTTTCTCTCCAGTATGAATTCTGTGATGTTCTATGAAACTTGTACTCCTTTTGAAAGCTTTTCCACATACATTACACTGATAGGGTTTCTCTCCAGGATGAGAAATAGCTTGCTGATTAAAAACCTGGTCACAATCATAGGGATTCTCTCCAGTATGGATCCTCTGATGGTCAGTAAAGTCTGTAATGTGACTAAAGTCTTCCCCACAGTCATCACAATGGTAGGATTTCACTTCAGTAAGAGTGCTTTCATCTTGAGTGAGAGATGAGTTGTGCTTGAAATCTATGCTGTAGTTATTGCTTTGGTAAGGTTTGCCTCTCTTATGAATCCTCATATGTTTATAAAGGGATGGGCTCTGACCAAAAGCCCTCCCGCATATGCTACATTCAAAAGGTTTCTCTCCAGTATGAGTCCTCTCATGTTGGACAAGGGAAGAACATCGACTAAAGGCTTTCCCACATTCCTTACACTGGAAGGGCTTCTCTCCACTATGTGTGACCTCATGTTGAGTGAGGGATGTGCCATGCCTAAAGGACCTTCCACATAGATTACATCGATAGGGTTTCTCTCCAGTGTGAATTCGCTGGTGTTGAACAAGGGAGGAGCTGCGCTGGAAGGCTTTCCCACAGAGACTACACTGATAGGGTTTCTCTCCGGTATGAGCATTCTCATGCTGACCAAGAGATGAGCTATGCCTGAAGGCCTTTCCACACACATTGCATTCAAATGGCTTCTCCCCAGTGTGAATTCTCTGATGTTCAGTAAGCTGTGTCTTCCAGAGAAAGGTTTTCCCACAGTCAGTACATTCGTGGTGTTTCTTTCCAGGAAAAATTCCCTGATCTGTTCCATTAGGGAAAGCTCCCTCTCCTTTATGAGTTTTCTCATGTTTAGTAAGTGATGATCTATGAATAAAGGCTTTTCTACATTTATCACACTTATAGGGTTTCTTTTTTGCAGGAATATTATTCTGATTAAGTAAGTCTGCATTTTGTCCCAAATTGCTTCCAAGGGTCTCACATTCACTAGGCCTTATTCTTGCAGGAATGTTCAGTTGTGTAACCAAATTGGTGTTCAATCTAGAGTTTTCACCACATTTATTTTGCTCAAAACTTTCTTGTGGTGTGACTATTTTCTTCTGGGTGGATGCCTCTGATCCCAGATGTCTCTTCCAGTTTTCTTGTTGCCTGTCTAACTGGCTGCTAACATCCCAGGAGTCTTCTAATGCAGCACGTGAGAGATCATCTGTGCAGTGGGATACTTTGGATACATCCTGCTGCAGATGTGATGATTTGAATTCAGGCCTGGTCTTCCAGTCTGAAAGAAATCCAAAGCGCAAAAGTCCCCTATTCCTTCCTGTTGAAACAAACTGCTACAGTAGGAATGAAGAAAGAATATAAGTTACACATAACTCTGTTTTCAAATCAGTCCTGTATCCTGGGAAGAAGACCCAAAATGGAGAAAGGGAAGAGTGAATAAATTATACTGAAGACTGCAGATCCAGAGTATGTGGGTGGTAAGTCCAGAGAATGAGGAAAGCCCATCTAGGAGGGCTGGTTAGAAAATAAAAAAGTAAGTGAGCAGGACTGTGTTAGGCACAGATACAAATGGAACAGGATCATAGTCCATCTTAGGATCCTATAACTCTCCATGCCTCTTATCCTTTTATAAACCACCACAAAATCTGTCTTCCTAATACATTTCATAATTTCTTTACTGTCGGTTCCAGGTTTCATTCCTCTGCATTTGCTGCAGAGAAAATCTGTACCCAGTGATATAACTAAAAAGATTATTTTAAATACTCCATTTTCTCAGTTTGTAAAGTATAACCCTTGGAGATCAAGGAGGTCCTTGATCAGGAGGGAAATCATCTTTGCCTTTACAACTGGTACTATGTTTTCCATCTGTTTGAACTCTCGTTTTATACTAATTACCTCCCTTGACCAAAAAGGATTTATTTCAAGCTGCCTAATAAATTGATCTCTAAGTCCCCTTTTACTTCAGAACACTGGTACAAGTGAATTGATTAATTTTTAGGGTTTAAGAATGGTAACTTTTAAAAACTAAGGGCAGAGAGCTTTTTAGAGTGATAGAAATGTTCCATATCAACAGGAATTTGGGTTAGACAAGTGAATGGATCTGTTAAAATGAACTGGATGGTACATATAGGAGTTGTACATTTCACTGTATGTAACTTTAAAAAAAAAAACTAAAATAAGTATTAAATTCTAGTTAATGACATAACATACATGCTAAAAGTGTAGGGGTGAAATGTAATTATGCCTGCAACTTACTTGGAAATGCATCAAAAAAGTAAGATGGATTGATAGATAGCTAGTTGAAGAAATACATGAAAAAGTCATTAAAACAACATGTTAACAAAGCAAATAATATGTTAACAACAACAACATGTGATATTCTTGGTGACAGGTATGTGGTATTGACTGTAAATTTTTTTTCGACTTTTCTATTTGAAAATTTTCATAATAAAATGTTGAGTGGGAAATCACAACAATAAGGCCCTAAACCTCCAAATTCCTTATCCTACAATGAGAACTGACTCAACTCCTGAGGGCAGAGAATGCCTTGTATTTTTTTAAGAATCCTTCTAAGTGGGACTTGCAAAAAATGCTTGTTAAAATGAATAAATGAGAAAAGTTCTCTTCCCAGCCAGCTCATAAATAGGAGGTTGAATAGAAACAAGACAACCTTTTGGCAACTAAAAAAGGGTAAAACCATCAGACGGTATATTATTAAATCTGAGTTTTTATAGTGTAGATGCTATAAATGATATTTGTTGTCAGGGAAGGAAGAAAAAATATATTAGTATATATCAGGTCTCATGGATTAGACAGACCTTGAACTCAAATAACAAATGGCTTTGGATAGGCAGAATATATTGCCTAATGAGGGAAAAGATATGCTACTTACAGAGAATACTAAGAGAAGTTCAACCTAAGGGGATCTGTTTTAGCAGGAATAGAAATATAATACTGGATGATAGGGAACTTTTTTTTTTTTTTTTTTGAGACAGAGTTTGACTCTTGTTGCCCAGGCTGGAGTGCAATCATGCAATCTTGGCTCACTGCAACCTCCACCTCTCAGATTCAAGTGATTCTCCTGCCTTAACCTCCCGAATAGCGGGAATTACAGGCATATGTCACCATACCCGCCTAATTTTGTATTTTTAGTAGAGACAGGGTTTCTCCATGTTGGTCAGGCTGCTCTCGAACTCCTGACCTTAGGTGATCTGCCCACCTCGGCCTCCCAAAGTGCTGGGATTACAGGCATGAGCCACCATGCCAGGCTGATATGGAACTTCTAAATCAAGAAAGTTTCTATTGCCTATAGTAAAGTACAGAGAGTAATAGCAAGGGTTTTTCAGAAGTTTTAAGAAAATAAAGCATTAGGCTGGGCATGGTGGCTCATGCCTGTAATTCCAGCACTTTGGGAGGCCAAGGTGGGTGAATTGCCTGAGCTCAGGAGTTCGTGACCAACCTGGGCAACACGGTGAAATCCCATCTCTACTAACTACAAAAAAATAGCTGGGTATGGCAGCATGTACCTATAGTCCTAGCTACTTGGGAAGCTGAGGCAGGAGAATTGCTTGAACCTGGGAGGTAGAGGTTGCAGTGAGCCAAGATCATACCACTACACTCCAGCCTGGGCAATAGAACGAGACTCCATCTCAAAAAAATAAAATAAAATAGAGAAGATAAAGAATTAAAACCCAGTGGCTGGGCGTGGTGTCCCAGGCGTGTAATCCCAGCACTTTGGGCAGCTAAGGCGGGTGGATCATATTAGGTCAGGAGTTTGAGACCAGCCTGGCCAACAGGGGTTTTACTAGAAACCCCATCTCTACTAAAAATACAAAAACTGGCCAGGCGTGTTGGTACATGCCTGTAGTCCCAGCTACTCGGGGGGCTGAGGCATGAGAACTGCTTGAACCCAGGAGGTGAGGGTTACAGTCAGCCAAGATCATATCACTGCATTGGAACCTGGCAGACAGAGTAAGAATCTGTCGCAAAAAAAATAGGCTGGGCGTGGTGGCTCAAGCCTGTAATCCCAGCACTTTGGGAGGCCGAGGCGGGGGGGATCACGAGGTCGAGAGATCGAGACCATCCTGGTCAACATAGTGAAACCCCGTCTCTACTAAAAATACAAAAAACTAGCTGGGCGTGGTGGCGCGTGCCTGTAATCCCAGCTACTTAGGAGGCTGAGGCAAGAGAATTGCCTGAGCCCAGGAGGCGGAGGTTGCGGTGAGCCAAGATCGCGCCATTGCACTCCAGCCTGGGTAACAAGAGCGAAACTCCGTCTCAAAAAATAAATAAATAAATAAATAAATAAATAAGTAAAATCTGGTGTGGTTCAGCAACTGACAGAGTGAGAGTCTGTCTCGAATAAATAAACAAATAAATAAATAAATAAAATCCAGTGTGGTCCAGCAACTGATGAATAATTAAACAAAATGTGGTATATCCATACAATGGAATATTACTCAATGGTTAAAAAAAAATGATGTATTGATACATGCTACAACATGATTAACCTTGAAAACATGATGCTAAGTGAAAGAAGCCAGTGCCATATTATATGATTCCACTTATGCAAACTATGCAGGATATAAAAAAAATCCATAGAAATAGAAATTAGATTAATGGTTACCAGGTACTGAGAGGAGTAGGGAATGGGGAGTAACTGTTAATGGGTATGAAGTTTCTTACTGGGGTGAGGAAAATATTCTGAAATTAGATAGTGTTACAACTATATAATACTACTCTCTGAATATATGAAAAAACCACTGACCTACACACTTTAAAGGGGTGAATCTCATGGTATGTGAATTATATCACAATAAAGCTATAATTTTAAAAATCCATTTGATTTATAAAAAGAAAAAACAGAGTGAGCTATTCCAATTGGGAATTACAGCAATCTAAATCTGGGATCTCAGCAGGGGCTCATACCTATAACCCCAATACTCTGGGAAGCAGAGGGAGGAGGATCAATTGAGCCCAGGAGGTCAAGGCTGCAGTGAGCTGTGATTGAGCCACTGCACTCCACCCCAGGTGATAGGGCAAGCCCCTATCTCAAAATAAAAAATAAGGCTGGTGCAGTGGCTCATGCTTGTAATCTCAGCACTTTGGGAGGCTAAGGTGGGTGGATGGCTTGAGCTCAGGTGTTTGAGACCAGCCTGGGCAACATAGGGAAAACTCGTCTCCACCAAAAATACAAAAAATTAGCTGTGTATGGTGGCACATGCCTATAGCCACCATAAACAGTTACTTGGGAGGCTGAGCTGGGAGGATTGCGTGAGCCTGGGAGGCAGAGGGTACAGTGAGCCAAGACCATGCCACTGCACTCCAGCCTGGGTGACAGAGTGAGATCCTGTCTCAATAAAATAAACAAATAAATAAATAATTTAAAAATTGGGGCCCTGGTTTACAGTGCCACTAGTAGAAGTTAAAAGGCAAGAAAATCTAAGCTACTTCTCATAGGAAGAAAATAGCCTGGGTTGAAATAAAAGACTAAACTAATTACGGTATCCAGCCGGAGCAATTAAGAATCCACTGGATTCTAATAGGCAAGGATAGAAATGGGAAATAGGCAAGGTAGCAAATTATTCCGGTGGGGGATGAAAGGTGATGAATTTAGATTTTAGGTATACATATGAACTATGTGACTTCTGAGAAGGAAACAAAGTAATCATCACACAAATAAGGAAGACTTCTGAGTCTACTGCATAGAATAAAGAGCTGCAACTAGCAGGAGGCAGGCACCCTGTTAAGGAGGTAACAGAAAAACGAGGCTAGGCAGGTTCCTTAAGGCAGAGTCACTTAGGGGAAAAAGCAAGAAAAGCTAAAGACCTAAAGCTAAGAAGCACTTAACAAGCAAGGAACTGGGAGAGGAGGACACTACAGGAACCATGGAGGGAGGTAATGAGTCAATTCAGCATGCACATGAGATGGAAGGAAGATGGTGGTGAGGCATGGGGTCTGAAGGCAGGTTATGAAGAGAGGGAGAATGAAGGAAGCTGTGGGTGTTTCCTACAAGTCTGGGGCTTCTGACAGTGAAAGCAGCAAGACTAAACAAGGAAGAGATGGGGGAGTTCAATACAAGGAAGAGATACGAGAGTTCAATTCCGAATGAGTAACAGAAGGGATCTCTAATTAACAAAGGGAATCAGAGGCCACCAGAGGAACAATAAACCAGCAAGAGCTGGAACACCTTTTTGAAGAGGAGAGACCTACAAGGTGTCAGCCGGGCGATGGCTTCAGCCTCTTATGCAGATCTAGGAGATCCCAAGCCAGTTGCAGGAGGGTACCTTCGCCTCCCTAAGTTGTGCCATTATCTGCATTCATTCCTAACACCTGACTCTCACTCATTTACCTGGACAGAAAGGTCTTTGGATTTCTCCCTCTGATATCCATGGCTCTTCTCCTTGCTCCAATTTGAAGATCACCTCTGGCTTGGAAACTTGATATCCTGCTCATGGGTAAATACACAAGATTTGGTTGTTTGTGCAAGTGGACAAAGAACCCTCCTAAGGACAAGTCAGTACTAGTCCTTGATCCTCAGGAACTCTGAAGGAAAAAAAAGGTGCAACTTAAGGAGTCATGCAATCAAATTGCCTATTTCCAGTTTTGTAAAATAAAGGCCTTTTACCTAAAGAGTAGGCTCAAAACCCCATAAAGCTGGGTCCCCATGAGATTAACAAGCTCTGATCCCTGAGCACCCTGCTCACAGTTACCTATACTCTGGGCACCACCACAACAGCAACCAAGGAAGGAAAGACCCAACAGCAGGAAAGACACTCAGAGAAGTGGTCCTTACCAAGAGAAACCAGGTGGCTATAGTTCTCCAGCATCACATCCCTGTATAAGCTCCTCTGAGCAGGGTCGACGTGGTACCATTCTTCCTGGGTGAAGTCCACAGACACATCTTTGAATGTCACTGATTCCTGTAAGATCACATTCCTGCTCAACTGGGGATCAGCCCCACAAATGTTCCATGGCAATGCTGGGAACATACTGTAGGCTCTATTAGAAGTGGCAATCACACATTTGTTAGACTGAGGAGGCAATGTTGAGTCATATAAACTCACTGTTTACATAATTGTTTAAAGAATCTAGTATGTCAGGCAGGAAAGCTATGGGCAATTTGTCCTGCAAACCTGTATCCCTACCTAGCTATCTTCTTAGTTTCCTTCAAAGCCAAGCCTTTTTATACAACATCAATTCCTTGTTGCCCACTTTCTTTGTTACAAAATCCAAATACCGTAGGCAATAAAAAGTGGTAACTCTCCTTCACTCCATAACCAATCCCACTTTACTTTCCAGAAATAACCACTCTTAATAGTTTGGTGTAATCACAAAGTCCCTTGTCCATGTTTTTTAACACCTCACCCACCCAATCATACTCACACCTCAACACAGAATCCTGTTTTATGGAATACCATACATATTGTTTTACAACTTGCTTTTTGCATTTAGCTATGTATCCTGGAGATCTTTGCATAGTGGAATAATTTCTTCTTATTGAACTGCTTCATAGTACTCTATAGTACAGCTGTACCACAGGTACCCACTGCTTAAAACCAACAGCACTTCACTATATTAGGAATAAAATGCGGCAGGGCATGGTGGTTCACTCCTGTAATCCCAACACTTTGAGAGGTCAAGGCCGGCAGATCATTTGAACCCATTCACTTCCTTTGTTACAGGAGCCCACGAGTTTGAAACCAGCCTCAGCAACACAGTAAAACCCCATCTCTACAAAAGATCAAAAAATTAGTCTGGTGTAGTGGTGTGTGCCTACAGTCCCAGCTACTCAGGAGGCTAAGCTGGAAGGATCACTTTGAGCCCAGGAGGTGGAGGTTGCAGTGAGCCATGATCTTGCCATTGTACTCCAGCCTGGATGATGGAGTGAGACCCTGTCTCAAAAAAAGAAAGTAAAATGCAATTCCCTCATGGCTCACTAGACTGTCACATGCTGATCTTGATATTCCTTGACTACATCAAACTTGTTCCCATCCCAATCCTTTTGTGATTCCCTAGCCTCCTGCATCTCTACATGGTTAACAACTAGTTACCAGTTATTCTGGCATCATCTCAAGCATGGCCTCCTTGGAAAGGCTGTCTTAGCACCTCCACTATCCATCACATTACCTGTTTAATTTTCCTGCTAGTCCAGTTATCTCACTGCCTAATTCTTTTAACCTGAACTCAAGAATGTAACAGATTCCGATAGAAAGGATACTTGTGCTTTTAGCAACAATTGGAGATGAGCTTATTACCTTATTGTTTGTCTCCCCACTGTAAGCTCCATGGGACAGAGACTTTATCTGTCTTGATCAGTTACATTCCTGGTACCCAGAACAATGCCCGGCACATAGCGGGTGCTTAAAAAATACTTGCTAAATCAATGAACCAATCCATGTTAACAGGTACTGAGATTCTTTCCAGTATTCTGCTATTATAAACATTACTGTAATAAATATTCTTTGGGTGAACATGCTAGCATTTCTCCAGACTTGCTAGCTAGAATTAGGATGGCTAAGTCAAAGGCCTTTCACGGCGTCTTACCCTACTCCAATCACTTCTTCCACCATCCCATGGACACGTGGCTGGCTGACGTGCCCCATGCCTCCCAATTGTCAGTTCTGATGCTTGTGGGCTGATTGCCTAGCATCACTTGGCCTTGTTAAACCATGAGTCACCTGTGACCATGGCTTCCTTGAGCTATGTCCTTTTGTGGAGTGCAGTGGCACATTTGTGGCTCAGTGTAGCCTCAATTGCCTGAGTTTTAAGTAATCCTCCTACCTTAGCCTCCAGAGTAGCTGGGACCATCGGCATTTGCCACCACATCTGGCTAATTCCTGGTTAGACTTCTGTCTCAGAGTATATAATAAAGTATGGTAAAGACAATTAGTGCAAAAAGACATTGAAAGCAGAGCTGAGTTAGCTGGAGCAGGGAGGGAAGTTTTCATGGAGGCTTCAGCTTTATTCTGTACTCTTCTCCTGTTTGCTTAGCTATAGCTGAACTGGATTCACTCAAATTCCTCAAGGGTATCATTCTCTCCTCCCATTTCCCATAGCTAATTCCATTTCATACTTAAGGTGCTGGTTAGCAGATCTGCAGTGAAGTCTTCTGATCTCCCACTGGAGAGTCAGCCTCCCTATCAAGTGCTTTAAACCACTCTGCACACCTACATTATTCAAACAAATCTACTCTATTTAAAACCTATCTATTTAATGCATGTTTTCCTAGTTAGACGATACACATTATGAGGGCAGGTATAATACTTACATTATGAGGACAGGGATAATACTTCTGGTTGTTTTTTAAAAATTCTACAATACCATTGCCCAACAAGTGCCTGACTCACACTAGACATGTTTCCTGAATGAGGTGAGCCTTAAGGAGATGGATAAAATTTGATTATTAAAGAAGGCAAGTGTGGCCCCTGTACTGAGTGAGGTGCATGACCATATCCTAACACCATACTGGCTCCTCTGCCCCATATTCCTGCTCAATACTTGGCTGTGCTCCTGCAGGAACAGGGCAGGGTTGAAACAGGGGCCATTTTTCTGACCAAGGTTAGAGATCTGACCGACTAGGTATTTATGAGGTGGCTGGCTTTACTATATATACTGTGGCTAACTAAAAATGCAAAAGAAAAACACTGCAGTCCTTGAATACGGTTCAGTTTATTTTAAAAGTGTTATTTATTAGAGCACAATACGAGACGATACACAGTAAGGTGAGGTGCTGCAGGCACTCAAAGCAGGAAAGAGCGGGGGAGGGAGGGAACACTTCAAGGTAGGCTCTGTACCAGGTCCTAAGAGGTAAGTGCCATTTGCATGGAAGAAGAAAATGTGGGAATCCAATCCAGGGATTGGGTAGCTTGCGAAGGGAGGCTGGTCTTGGGAGAAGCATGGCTAGGAAAGACAAAGGGGCTGGACCAGCCATTTTGAGGTAAGTGGTGAGAAGTAAAATCTTCTTCCCATTGCCTACTCTGCCCTCTAGACATACTGTCTCTTCGGTTTAGTAATAGTCATCACCCAACTAGGACTCCTTTGCTTAACTGGTTCCTCATATTTAACACAGGGCCTCCTGGTTTCTTTTGTTTTGTTTAAGAGATAGGGTCTCACTATGTTGCCCAGGCTGGTCTCAAACTCCTGGGCTCAAGTGATCTTCTCACCTCGGCTTTCTAAAGCCCTGATATTACAAGTGTAAGCCTCTGAGCCTGGACAGCCTCCTAGTTTCATTCTGCTTTCCCAAAGAGTCTGCACTCATGATGCAGAATGTGCTAACCAGCAAGCAAACCTCTGCTCCAAGTCACTCATCATTTCTTGCCTTAACAAGACAACCACCGGCCTCTGTTCTTTAACTCTTGATTCCAACCCCTTTTTTTCCCTGGGAACTATCAGAGTCACTTCAAAACACAAATTTGATCATGTTCACAAATGCTTCACTGCTGCCGGGTCCAGTGGCTCATGCCTGTGATCCCAGCACTTTGGGAGACTGAGGCGGACAGATGGATCACCTGAGGTCAGGAGTTGGAGACCAGTGTGGCCAACATGGCGATATCCCATCTCTACTAAAAACATAAAAATTAGCCAGGTGTGGTGACAAGTGCCTGTAATCCCAGCTACTCAGGAGGCTGAGGCAGGAGAATCACTTGAACCTGGGAGGTGTAGGTTGCAGTGAGCCGAGATCGCACCACTGCACTCCAGACTAGGCAACAAAGCGAGACTCAGTCTCAAAACATGCACACACCCTTCACTGCCTCCCAGTTTCCCTATTCCTGTCACCCTCACCATAGTTGGTGTCATCATCTCTTACCTAGACTATTACTACAAACTCCTAGTTCATCTTTCCTCTCACTCTTGCCCCACCACCCAAGTACATTTTCCATATGACAACCAGAGAGATCTTGTTAAAACCTGCCAGACTGCTGGGCGCGGTGGCTCACACCTGTTATCCCAGCACTTTGAGAGGCTGAGGTGGGAGGCAGGAGTTCTTCATTGAAGGCCAGGAGTTCCAGACCAGCCTGGGCAACATAATGAGACACCATCTCTTAACAAACAACAATTTTTTTCTTTTTTTTTTTTGAGATGGAGTTTCGCTCTTATTACCCAGGCTGGAGTGCAATGGTGCGATCTTGGCTCACCGCAACCTCTGTCTCCTGGGTTCAGGCAATTCTCCTGCCTCAGCCTCCTGAGTAGCTGGGATTACAGGCACGCACCACCATGCCCAGCTAATTTTTTGCATTTTTAGTAGAGACGGGGTTTCACCATGTTGACCGGGATGGTCTCGATCTCTTGACCTCATGATCCACCCGCCTCAGCCTCCCAAAGTGCTGGGATTACAGGCTTGAGCCACCGCGCGTGGCCCAACAATTTTTTAAAATTAGCTGGGCATGGTGGCTTGCGTCTGTGGTCCCAGCTACTTGGAGGGCTGAGACAGGAGGATTGCTTGAGCCTGGGAGTTCGAGGCTACAGTGAACCATGATGATGCCACTGCTTTCTAGCCTGGGTGACAGGGCAAGACCCTGTACTAAAGAAAAACAAAACAAAACAAAAAAAAGAATCTGCCAGATCAAGTTACCTTTGTTTCAAGAACTCCAATGACACCCTGATTCATTCCAAGTTAAGCCAAAGTCTTTATAGCTGTCTATAGGCCCCTCACAATCTGGGTACCAGCTAGTTCCCCGATGTCACCTCAAGCCTCCTCCCCTGCCTGCAGCTCTCCCCTGCACCCACCCTGCCCTCCTTCTAATTGCTGGAAGACACTAAACCTATTTCCTCCTCAGTGCCTGTGTTCTGCCTGTTCCCTCGACTTGACAGCCTCTTCCTGCATGTATGCCTGTGGTTCCCCTCACTGGCTTCAGCTCTTTTGTTCAAATGTCGCCTCATCAGAGCAACCTTCCCTCACCATCCTACATAAAATAGCGCC